ATGTTTGACTACAGAATTATTTCTCTTACAAGGATTTTCCACTTGTATTTTACTTTTCCTAAGCTCACTTCTCTTTGTATGTAGAAGATCTTCTACCCGTATTTTCTCTCTTTGTACTAGAGCACACACCAATTATAGCCTACAGATTATACGAAGGCACTAAATCCCCTCAATACCAATATGTGGGGAGGGAAAAAAAAGTAATTTTCCTCAAGAAAACAAATAAGACGGTCTAATGCCGAAGCCCTGGGGGAATGAATCTTTACAAGATAGATTCTACAGGAGCATAAATAAATTATGTCTCGGCATACAGGCGAGTGAGAGATCGGGTAATTAGCTGGTGCATTGGTGGGGGCTAGATGGGGTAAGCGTGCGACAGTGTCACCGGCACTAGCATATGACATGTCACTGGAACTAGCGTATGACATGTTAGTGGCACTAGCGTTTGACATGTTTGTGGCACTAGCGTATGATATGTTAGTGGCACTAGCATATGACATGTCACTGGAACTAGCGTATGACATGTTAGTGGCACTAGCGTTTGACATGTTTGTGGCACTAGCGTATGATATGTTAGTGGCACTAGCATATGACATGTCACTGGAACTAGCGTATGACATGTTAGTGGCACTAGCGTTTGACATGTTTGTGGCACTAGCGTATGATATGTTAGTGGCACTAGCGTATGATATGTCACTGGTATTAGCGTGTATCAGTCTCACTAGAGTGTGACAGTTACACTGGAAATAGCATGTCAGTGTCATAGGCACTAGCATGTGTCAGTGTCATATATATATATATATATATATATATATATATATATATATATATATATATATATATATATATATATATAAATATATATACATATATTGTAAATTAGCATACAATTGAACAATGATTTTACGCCCAGCAATAAATAACTTTATGTGGCATTATCAAGAACATCTGTACTAAGGTTCAGCCAGACTTAATAAAAAGTAAAAAATATTTTACAGATGTTTTAAGCTATATGAACTTTGACATTTTGAAAATTGATTTCAATGAGACTTTAGTCAAGGATTTATAAAGTAAAATATACCGTATTATTACTTTAGTGTTTAGAGGACAAATCTGTATAGAAATGCCTGAAGTCAAAAGAATTTAAAAAAAACACCCACAAAAATATTTTGATTAAAATCTTAGAGTTACAGAACCTGAATAGTCTCCCTTTGATATCTCTACGCATTAGTCGCATACGTACTAATTCTCTTGAGACTTGGGTTTTGGATTACAAACACAACAAAAATGTTACAAAAATAAAAATATATATTATAAATGAAAAAGTAACGAAACTTTTTAAAAACTAGAATCTTCGAATGATACATTTAATAAGACGGCTTTTCAGATTCGAAAGTTTTTTTTCAAAAGCAGCTATAGTGTGAGTTGAAATAGTTATTCCATTTTTACGCCAATGTCAAAAGTTTTAGTAGCAAAATATCGCATGTTTAGATCACAATGACTGCATGTGGAATCAAACAAGTAAAAAGAAACTATTTATGCTTTGTTGGTTCAGTTTTTGCTCATTTTCAAGAAACTCGCCAATACATTTTATTTTGTAGTGGGTTTATAAAACACCCTCGCCCATCACTAACTATAGCCTTCTTCTTTTACTTAATTAGAACATTGGAAGGCATATCCTCCACAAAAAATTAAGCATTATGTGTTAACATGTTATGCACCATATAGACAGTTGACTCAGATTTCAACCTGCTTATCTTTTTGGATTAGCTTCCATAGCCTTTGTCTATCCAGTATTTCTTCCAGACTTTTTTCTCCGGGGGTTCACTTGAAATTTTCGGGGGAGGGGGGGGGGGGCGGACAACAATTTCCGGGGGGGGGGGGGGGAGGGGACCCACTCTCAAAAGTATATATTTCCTATGTAAATTCCATTTCGTTCGGGGGGGGGGGGGTGCGGTAGACTTTCTTCGGGGGGGGGGGACGACGACGGTGCCCCCTTCCCCCCTTGAAGAGATGCCTGGAAGAAACTCTGTGTCTATCTAAGAACAAACTACAAAGCAGCAGTTTTTTTTAATATTCTCTTCTAGATCAGTTGCTATCAGCCTTCAAGCCTGAGGGTTCGAACAAGGGGCTTTTGGGTTTAGTAATCATGAGCTTTACCGACTCGACCTAACTGTCGTAGTTTTAGTAGACCTTATCGCTCGCCATCCTATCTTTAAAATTGTTATCACAACTATATCACATCACATAAGTAACAACGACCGTTATACTAAGCTTATTATACATTTAACCCCTGTATCGCTAGCACAAGAATCGAGCCTGTTAACTTAAAGGCAATAATTGATTTTTTTTCCTTCTGTCCTGGTTATCGCTTTCATCTAATGGATCTCGCATTTCCTCACCAACTCGCGGTGATAGCGTTTTATTACCTCCCCTGACCGCACCGTTCCCCATTATTTACGTGTGTAGAGTTTTTTTTTTCAACCAAACAGCTTGTGTGTTTTAGAGAATATGCTTACAGCAACTGTATTTTAAAGCCAGTTTTTTTTTTAAATCAAACAGAGAAACTACTACACATGTATAACGCTTAGTAGTGCTTCAAAAAATGTGTTAAGAAAATCAAGTTGAAACAATGTTTATTAAAAATTATTATTAAAAAATTCTAGCATAATGTGGTATTTTACTTCTATGTAACATCACATTTTGCCCTGGGTAAAATAACATGGATGTGCCGTGCTGGGCTTCCTTTATACTTGGCCAAGACTAGAGTACACGCATGATAATGTTTTGTGTTCTTTACCATTGAGCGCTCTAGTTTTTTGTTTTTATTTTCGTGATTATAGCACTAATTATATAATGAATATAAAAATCAACGTAATAGCACATATTGTACCGGCTAAAGTAATACACGTTTTACCCTACAACGTGACATAAAACTTTGTACCCACCAACGTGACACAATATAATGTACCAACCGAGGCCATACGTCATTTGTACCCACTAACGTGACACAACATAATGTATACACCAAAGTGACAACATAATGTACGTGACACAGGATGTACCCACCAACGTGACACAACATAATGCACACACCAACGTGACACAACATAATGAACCAACCAACGTGACACAACATAATGCACCCACCAACGTGACACAACATAATGTACCCATCAACGTGACACAACATAATGCACCCACCAACGTGACAACATAATGTACCCAACAACGTGACACAAAATATTGTATCCATCAACGTGACAGAACATAATGTACCCACCAACGTGACACAACATAATGTATCCAACAACGTGACACAACATAATGAACCAACCAACGTGACACAACATAATGTTCCCACCAACGTGACACAACATAATGTACCCATCAACGTGACACAACAAAATGTATCCAACAACGTGACACAACATAATGTACCCACCAACGTGACACAACATAATGAACCAACCAACGTGACACAACAAAATGTATCCAACAACGTGACACAACATAATGTATCCAACAACGTGACACGCCGTATTGTACCCACCAACGTGACACAACATAATGCACCCACCAACGTGACAACATAATGTACTCACCAACGTGACACAACATAATGCACCCACCAACGTGACAACATAATGTACTCACCAACGTGACACGCCGTATTGTACCCACCAACGTGACACAACCAAATGTACCCACCAACGTGACACACGATGTACCCACCAACGTGACACATGATGTACCCACCAACGTGACACAACATAATGTACCCACCAACGTGACACACGATGTACCCACCAACGTGACACAGGATGTACCCACCAACGTGACACACGATGTACCCACCAACGTGACACATGATGTACCCACCAACGTGACACAACATAATGTACCCACCAACGTGACACACGATGTACCCACCAACGTGACAACAAAATGTTCCCACCAACGTGACACAACTAAATGTAACCATCAACGTGACACAACTAAATTTACCCACCAACGTGACACAGAATGTACCCACCAACGTGACACAGAATGTACCAACCAACGTGACACAACATAATGTACCCACCAACGTGACACAACATAATGTACCCACCAACGTGACACAACATAATGTACCCACCAACGTGACACAACATAATGTACCCACCAACGTGACACAACATATTGTATCCATCAACGTGACACAACATAATGCACCCACCAACGTGACAACATAATGTACTCACCAACGTGACACAACATAATGCACCCACCAACGTGACAACATAATGTACTCACCAACGTGACACGCCGTATTGTACCCACCAACGTGACACAACCAAATGTACCCACCAACGTGACACACGATGTACCCACCAACGTGACACATGATGTACCCACCAACTTGACACAACATAATGTACCCACCAACGTGACACACGATGTACCCACCAACGTGACACAGGATGTACCCACCAACGTGACACACGATGTACCCACCAACGTGACACATGATGTACCCACCAACGTGACACAACATAATGTACCCACCAACGTGACACACGATGTACCCACCAACGTGACAACAAAATGTTCCCACCAACGTGACACAACTAAATGTAACCATCAACGTGACACAACTAAATTTACCCACCAACGTGACACAGAATGTACCCACCAACGTGACACAGAATGTACCAACCAACGTGACACAACATAATGTACCCACCAACGTGACACAACATAATGTACCCACCAACGTGACACAACATAATGTACCCACCAACGTGACACAACATAATGTACCCACCAACGTGACACAACATAATGTACCCACCAACGTGACACACGATGTACCCACCAACGTGACAACCAAATGTATCCACCAACGTGACACAGAATGTACCAACCAACGTGACACAACATAGTGTACCCACCAACGTGACACACCGCGTTGTACCCAAACTTTCTACCCTAGCGTGACACAAGAATGTACTCACCAGTGTGTGCATAAACGTAAAACGGAAGTGACGTAAAGCCGCAGTAGCCGAGTGAGCTAAAAGCGCAGATGGCACTAATCTGCAGCAGACTCCACTTGGAAGGGTTGGGGTTCAAATCCCCCGAGTCAGACATGGTGAACCCTGTTTGAACCACAGCCTTAAAATCCACTATCCCAATCCAGCTTAGTAGGCCTATCCATACCGAATCACACACAAACTAACTAAAGCTAATATTTCACGGTAATCACTTTTCTATAATCGATTGTCAATATTTTCTAATGTAATCTTAAAAACAAGTGTTAAAACTTCAATAGCATTTTAAGATTTTAAAGATAGATATACTATAAGCTCTAATGAACAATTCTATCGCGGTGTATTGTAATCAAACATATATTGATCACAAATAGTATAAGAATCCAGTATGAGTAAATCCAGCGAAAATTACAGCGGTTCCACACAGCCAAGTGATGATTAGTCAGTCCGAGCGAGTGCTGTCCCCTTTTTCACGCGACGTCCCGCCAAATTGCAGCACAGCACAAGTTCCTCACGCGAGCGCGAGATTTGTAGAAATGGCCCCCTGCCCCTAGTGATTGCATGCACGCGCGCAGTGAGGCGACACGTCCGTGGGTCGGGCTATAGGTAACCTACTGGCTTTTGTTAGTCTGCTGCTATCCACGCGCGCGACTCAATGCAGACATGCGCGCCGCGAGACAGAACGCTGTCACCTCCGGCCATGACGTCATCTCGATTCGATTTTTGTTTTCCTTGTCGTATTAGGTCAGTAAGGCTGAATCAGACAAATAAATTCGTCTGCATAATATATATATATATATATATATATATATATATATATATATATATATATATATATATATATATATATATATATATATATATATATATATATATATATATATATATATATATATATATATATATATATATATATATATATATATATATATATATATATATATAGGTTTCTATAGAAACAAGTATTTTTAAATATAACATTCATAATAAACTTAAATATTCAAGACATTATATAGACTTTTTAGAGCTTTAAAACAACACATTTTTTTTTCAAAAAAACTAAAAGTTTTTTTTTTAAAATCAATTTCGTGCATCCAATCAGGTGCATCGGTGAAATCACGTGACCAAGCAATCAGCCCAACAGGGGAGATGATCAATGCATGACTCACTCAATTTTACTTAACGTTCGGATTTCTTCATCAGACGTAATGGGGGAAAAAGTGAAGCGTTCATTATGCTAGTTGATTAATCAGACTCGAGTTAAAGATTAGCATTCGTCGGTAGCTTGTGTGATTGCTGCGTTCGATGCACGTCCTAATGTGATCGACTGCTTTTGAATATCGATAGTGCTGAGCCCGGGGCAAAAGACTCAGCCGCATTGAGTGATGGGCATTTCTTTTCTCGTTCTTAATAACACGAGTTTCTGTATAAAGAAAGGTCTGTATTAGTTTTACTGTGCAGCGGAAAAAGACATACAGTGCACATTTTCTAAAGAGTATGTGGTTAGGATTTATGAAAAAGTGCGTAAAGAGATAAACGAAGGAGTTATGACTGAGAAGACAGAAGGAGCATTTGACTGAGATGAATAAAATAGTATGTGACATATGACTGAAAAAATGTGTGACTGTAGGAGTATTTGACTGAAGCGGTATGTGATTTATATTTGACAGTGCTCTGACGAAATGTTACATATTATGACCTTTGTCTTGTATTCTAGATTAAAACTCGTCATAGCATTTGAAAAAAAAGTAGATTCTATTTAGAGGAATTTAAGCAAAACTTCTGTTATGGGTATTTCATAAATAAAAGGTTGAACTTTAAATCTATGTTGGCTTACAAAAACTGTTGGTAGAGAAGATAAACGGAGGGTGTCACGTTTTAAACGGAATTTCTGTGAAACAAGTCAAGGCGTGTAGTCTACAGTTCCGTCCTAATGATAGCAATTACTTTTACAAGCTCACAAAAATACCTTAACTACTGCCGTTCATCTTAGCCTAGGGTATAATTTCTTCCATCATCGTCCATTTAGCGTCTTGTTTAACTTCTTCAATCATCGTCATAGTTAGCCTCTGGTTCAACTTCTTCAATCATCGTCCAAGTTAATCTCTGGTTCAACTTCTTCAATCATCGTCCGTTTAGCCTCTTGTTTAACTTCTTCAATCATTGTCCACGTTAGCCTCTTGATTCTAGTTCATCTTCTTTAACTATAGTCCAAGTTAACCTCTAGTTCAACTTCTTCAATCACCGTCCACGTTAGCCTCTGGTTTAACATCAGAACCCGGGGTCGTCCTAACAAAGTTTGACACTAAAAAAAAACAGCGAAAGTGATACGATAAATAAAACGATTTTCGGACAACTTTTTCCTGTCCAAATTTCTCGGCTATTGGAGAAACTTGGACAGCTTCATTTCCGGTAGCCAACTTTGCTGTAAACAAAAAAAAAAAAAAAAAAAAGAAAGAAAACCGCTGATGAACCCGCGTTTCAGTGAGAAAAATATGTGTAGCGCTCTTTGCTCTATTATAAAAACTATAGCGCAGAATATGGATAATTTATTCAGTGCTTGAGACTCAGCATTTATTTTCTCTTTAACGTAATGGAAATAATAAAACACGTTATGTTTGTAAAAGTTCTTTAAAAAACTAAATCCAATCATAATGTTGTATTATTTAACAAAAAAAGTACAATATTTATTTCATTTCGACAGATTACAAGTGGAAAATAAAAAGTAAATTGTATTTACAACGAGCCGGCCCGCGGCATAACATACGCCGCTATTTAGTTGTTTCTAATTTTCAATAATTCATAATTTGTGAATTCGACAGTACCAACGCTGACACTGAAAATATTTCTTTAAAACACTATAAGTAGCTCGTTAAGGACCATAACCCCCCCCCCCTTCCTTCCCTCCCCCCCTCCTCCCCCCCCCCCTACGTTTAAAATCGTTGGCTCTGCTTGTAAACATTTAGAGTGAACACAGCTCACTAAAACCATGTAGGGGTGGGGAGGTAGGGAGAGCGTTTGCAGCTTGTTTTCTAACGGCTCGAAGAAGAGAATTATATATATAGATAATTACTAATTACAATTACACTATTTTAAATACTAGAGTGCTTTCAGTAATAATTTCGTAAAGACGCTTTAGCCCGTGATGTTTTTATCAAGAAGCCAATCAACCTCACTCACTCAATCAAATATTACGTCACTCTTATTTCACAGGAAAAGAAAAAAAAAATTTGATCGTAAGTTTTCACCAATAACGAACTGATGACAGGAATCAGGTTTTAAAAAGTTTGTTTTAAATTAAAAGGCCAAGTTCGCCGTATTTAGACATTAAAAGTGAATTGTTCAAGCGAGTTTGAATCAGAGCAAGTTAAATAAAAGCTTATTTTAAAATGCCATGTTCGCCGTACTTAGATATTAAAAGTTTGTTGATCAAGTAAGTTTGAATCAGAGCAAGTTAAATAAAAGCTTATTTTAAAATGCCATGTTCGCCGTACTTAGATATTAAAAGTTTGTTGATCAAATATGTTTGAATCAGAGCAAGTTAAATAAAAGCTTATTTTAAAATGCCATGTTCGCCGTACTTAGATATTAAAAGTTTGTTGATCAAGTAAGTTTGAATCAGAGCAAGTTAAATAAAAGCTTGTTTTAAAATGCCAAGTTCGCCGTATTTAGACATTGAAAGTAAATTGGTCAAGTGAGTTTGAATCAGAAGGGTATGTTTTTAGTGTTGAAGACTACCTTGCTCATTTCTAATGTGGAGTTTTAAAATGTTTAAAATCTTCCGTGTAAAATAGATGGGTTAGTTCAATGTGAGTTTACATTTCATTGATTGACCTCTCCCACAGCACAAAATATTACCTCACACGGTGCATAAATTATGGCCTCACACTTTGGCCTAATATATGGCCACACTCTAAGGCCCAAGTTATGGCCCCCCACAGCTAAAACTATGGCCACACTCTAAGGCCCAAGGTATGGCCACCCACGGCCAGAGTTTCTTCCAGGCATCTCTTCGGGGGGGGGGGCAAAGCCCCCCCGAAAAAATTTTACCACCCCCCCGAACGAAATGAAAATTATATCATTTATATAGAAAATATATACTTTTAACAGTGTCCGCCCCCCCCCGAAGAAAGGTCTACCGCCCCCCCCCAAAAATTTCAAGTGCCCCCCCGGAGAAAAAAGTCTGGAAGAAACACTGCCCACAGCTCAAACTATGGCCACACTCTAAGGCCCAAGGTATGGCCACCCACAGCTCAAACTATGGCCACACTCTAAGGCCCAAGGTATGGTTTACCATTGTGCAAAAAAATAATGGCCCAACAACTCTTCGCTCTTCTATAATTTATATTTCTACATAAAATAGAGCATATGAGTTATAAAATCATTTACTCTATTTTAAGGAATTTTTTTTTAAAAGTATTAAGAGTTTAGTAACAATTGTACAATAATTAGTTTTTTTTGTTTGTTTTGTAGGAGAAAAAAATGTTTTATCGGCTATAAAAAATTATTTATTTAAATCCTATTTACTGCTTATGAAATCAAGGGAGAATATTCACTAACTGTAACTGTTCAAGATTATCAACAATTCTAAATTGTCTCCCTTTTATTGTAGAAAGTTCTTGATATCTAACTATTTGTATTTTATTTTGAACAATCGGCTGATCTCCAAAAGCTAGCTTTGTTAAGATGAAATTCTTTAATTATAAAGACTAGCACACGGACTTATACAAACATAGACACCATCAGTTTTGCCGAAATCTTTTGGCTGATATTGCAACAAAGCCCTCTTACCCTATTAGTGGAAACGTTTGCATTAAAGTTTAAACCTAAACCTTGTTCTAAAATATTCTAAATCTAAACCAGCCAAACATTTCACTGACGAAAATTGTAACATGTAGATAGCTAGTTGCGTAGACTTGGAGGGGGGGGGGGGGGGGGGGGGGATGGGGGTAATAGGGTAGTGCTCTTCCTCCCTGCACCCCACCCCCACATTGACCATAAAAATAACAGTTATCTTCAGCTGACTGATGTTAACGCACTCGTATCGGTTATTACTTGCAATCGCAAATAATAATAATAAAAAAATAAATAAATTAAAATAAAAAAATATTATGTTTAAAGAAACTTTTTTAAAAAATATTTTTTTTCTTTTGCTTTCAGTTAAGGAGAAATCACGACAAAAAAATATTGTAGACATATACTAATATACAAATTCTGCATCTTTATTATCGATTCACAATTTATAGAAGTCATTACAGCTATTATTGCCTTGTATTTCGTGGGACGAACCTTGGTCTGTTTAAATTAAGAAAACCGAAAGCCATTCCGTTAGGTTCTTTCTGGTGACCTTGATATTTGTCGTGACCTTGGTATTTGTCGTGACCTCGGTTCTTAAGTGTCTTGCGATAATAGAAAACAACAACATCCTATTTAACCTGCCCTTCCCCCCCCCCCCCTTAAAGAGATGCCTGGAAGAAACTGCTTATAAAGATTTTGCCCATTATTTCCTAAACACTGGATGTATGATGTATGTTCTAAGCCCTAAGTTGACATGAACCAGGATTAGAAAACACTGACGTCCTATGAGAGATTAGCACACAATAAAAAAACAAGCTTTAAAAAATGTAACAACGGCGAAACTAACTAATCAATTTTAGAAACATTAGACCCTAACAAAATATTGTTGCCGTCATGAGTTTTTGCTGATTGGGATGGGCTGGGGCAGGGGGGGGGGGGGTCTACAAGTTCTAAGAAAACAAGAACTTAACTTTTCATCTAACTAATAAGACCATGAAACAGAACTGCCCTGTAAAAGATATTGTGTCGGAGCTGGGTACTGTGACCAACAGCGTCTAATGAAATGTGCAGTGCTCCTAATTTGAATAAAACGGTTTCCCTTTAAAAGGGTTGGATCGATTAGACAAGGCACTGTATGGGTGTGTAAAATATGACCCGTGTTATCTATATTTTGTTATCCAGCAAAAAGTTAACGTTAGATCTAAGATAATTCTGTAAGGCAGTGGCTTGTAGTCTGACAGAAACCTGCAAACATGGTAAACATTTTTTTTTTCTTGTATGTCAACGTTTCTTTATGGTGAGATTTGAACGGGGTTGATGACGTGTTAAAATTAATTAATGCACAATGCCATTATTTTTATACTAGAAATAGTTTGTTTACTTTTTACTTTGCCATCTCCTGAATTCAATGTGGTCATTGTACGTATGAGCCAGTTTGTAACATAAAACAAAAGGTAAGGTTTAAGTTAAAAGTGCGTCAAGTATGGTGAAGACTGCAACAAAAGTCTGTTATAGGATAACTCTATACCACTGACAGAGGCGTCGCGAGGCGGAGGCAGGGGGTCGGACCGCACCGGGTGACACCATTTAGAAATGTGACAACAAGACAAATTATTGTAAAATGTATTACAGAAAAATACTTTTTACCAGCTTATTTAATGATTAATTAATTAAAAAGTGTTAAGTGAAATCAAAGATTCCGACATTGGTGAGGGGTGACACCTGGACGTAAACCTGCTAATTATATAGAACTTTACATTCAGCTGTATTACATACAGCTATATATATATATATATATATATATATATATATATATATATATATATATATATATATATACACATACATATACCCGACTTAGCGACGCCACTGACCACTGTGTCTCGGCAATATTTCAAGATATTTCTTCATTTAGCCTACAGTATGAAGATGGTCTCTGTTTCTGAGAAATTGCACAAGCTTACACGTGTTTCAGTCACCGATGTAGCACAGCAGCCGATTTAACAGTATAGATAACACTAGTCTATTTTTTACCATAGGCTCTTGCGTCCCACGTATTTGTCTACTGTTTGTATACAGTTGGCCAACTGGCAACTACATAATACACTCGCCAGATATGCCAACCTGATAGGCCTACACCTACACGCTGGCTAAATTAAATTAGCCCGTAATAAATTTTAAATTGCGATTTAACAACAATGAAAGATAGATAACTAAGTCTTATATTTAAATCTACAAGTGCATTGAGCACACCCCCCCCCCAACTGTTTTTATTTGTTTTTAAAAAGACGATCTAGATCTAGTTTTTAAAACAAAAAGCAAGACTTATTGTTGGTTACACAATTCTCAACGCTCATCAGTATTTTTTAAATCTTGTTTTTGATTTTTTTCTTTTTAGAGCAAAGGACTTGTCTTGGGTGTATATGAGCCAAATGAAAAAGATGGACCATTTATATTCTCTCCATCTGCTAAAAGCTTTGATGAATCTACTGCTGGAAAACTTGAGTCTGTTTTAAAGATGTATGTAAACTACTAGATCTAGTAGGGCCTAAAAATACAGGTTATTTGTTGTGGTTTATAATTATATTCGATGAGTGATTTAATTAACTGAGTTGAAAAGTTTAGGTATCCTGTTTCAAAGGTCCTAGATCTAACATCTTCTGAATTGCCAGGTGGCCTTCGCGCAAGGGAAAAACGTGTAACAAATTTAAAATTGGAATAAACATTGAATGTAGCTTTAGTATGCTAGGGATGCTGACCTGTAGTTTGAAAAAAAAAAGGATTCACAATTAGTTTTGTTACAACTACTAATTAGCTTAATTATTTTATTATGTAAGTGCTGGTAAAACCCTGAGCTGTGGTAAAGTCCGTCTGCTGTATGGCCTTGATGAAACCTACTCTACTGTGACTGTAGCTAACCTTGGGAAACAAGATGAAGGCTATGATGACACTGAACAGGTTGATCAGGGAAAAGAAAATGTCAGAACTGCTGTTGCAAGTCAGTCTTGGTTTATTTTATTTTGTTGTTGTTTTTCACATTTATTTACTAGTGCTTTTATTGTTGCTTGTTTAATAATGCTGCTAAGGGGTCACGCTGTTTTTGACGATTTTTACCCACCCCCCTCCCCTCCGTCACACGTCGTCACAAAAAGCCAGACCCCCCCCCCAGACGTCACACCTCAGCCAACAACCCCCTAAAAATGCTGTTGAATTGTTCTTAAAACATCGATGATTTTCCAAAATCTTGTCAGAACTCTGTCAACAGAGTATTTTGATCAATTCCTATTACAATTGATTAAAACCGTTTTCTAAAACGCGAAATAACGGCTAAAACTCGTTTTCTAACATTGCTTTTTTTTATAATGCAAAAAGTGACGCCACACCATCTGAACCCCCCCCCCCCCAATCACACACCGTCACAAAATTACGGACCCCCTCTTCCCTACGAGTGTGACGTCATTTATTCATTTATGGACGAACCCTAAGTAACCATACAAATAAAACGTTACCATTTGTTTCTCTTCAGGAGCAGTTCTAAGTTTGTGTGAAGTGGGAGAAACAGATGTGGATGTAGATGCATGTGGAGATGCTGAAGGTAACACTTGCACTTTATGCATTTTTTTTTAATTAGCAAAGGTTTGGCCCTTAAAAAAATTAAAGTACGTCTTTTATTGCTTGAAACATTCCTGATAATGTTATTTTATTGTTTGTAAATCACTCCATTAAACGTCTTCATTTTTAGCTGCTGCTGAAGGTGCTTTTCTATCACTGCATTCTTTTGATGATCTGAAACAAGAAGACAAAAGGAAACCGAAAGTGAATGTCACTCTCTACACTAAAGGCCTGGGAGATGAGTAGGTTTGGTTTTCTGTTTAAAATATTTAAAATATTCAAAAAGGCTTTTGATGTTCGTGTAAATCTGGTACAGCAGAATCAGTTCCAATTGGTAAAAACCCAATGAGCTGATCAGAAGCACAAAATTGTCCCCCGCTCCCCCCCCCCCACCAAGCCAGTAAAAAAATTACACATTTACGTATCAGGTGTACAGTATAATACAGATTAATGTGTCTACTATATAGGTCAAATGCCAAGGCACAGTGGTCAAGAGGTCAAGTACTGGCCACTGCCCAGAACTTTGTCAGATGGCTGCAAGAAAACCCAGCTAATCTCATGACTCCTACATTCTTCTGCCAGCAGGTCAAGAGGAATTTAGGAGATCTTAAAAATGTCAAGGTAACTGTGAGGTAGGTTGAATTTCCTAATGTCAAACTTACTGTCAGATATGTTGTATAGATCTTCCTAATGTCAAGATAACTGTCAGATATGTTGTATAGATCTTCCTAATGTCAAACTTACTGTCAGATATGTTGTATAGATCTTCCTAATGTCAAACTTACTGTCAGATATGTTGTATAGATCTTCCTAATGTCAAGTTTACTGTGATGTATGTTGATTGGAAGATCATCTTAATGTCAACATTACTGTAAGGTTTCACCATACCAATGCATTGTATAGATCTTCTTAGGATGTTTATATCTTTAAAATATGTGAAACTTTCAGAGAAAAGGAATGGGCTGAATCCATGAAGATGGGATCTTTCCTATCAGTAACCCAGGGATCAGATGAGCCACCAAAGTTTCTAGAAATTGATTACCAAGGTGGAAAGGCTGATGATCCATTTGTTGTATTTGTTGGCAAGGGAATCACTTTTGATAGGTTGGTAAAATTATAAACTACTATTGATGTTTATGTGGGATGGCTTGGCCTAGCAGTAGAGAGCTAGACTGCTAACCTAAATAGTCTTAAGTTCGAATCCAAGGTCAAGTCAGTATAACATCCCTAAGTCCACCCAGTTCTGACTCATTTTAGGGAAAGCAAAGGTTGACCACACTATTCATTCATATGCCGAGGTCTCTGAAACTTATGAACTCTACTTCATCTGCCACATGTGTTTTGGGCATGAATGGAAAAGATGATGATTGATGTTTATATCAAACACTCCCGTTGTTTAGTTTTGATATGGTTTGTATAAAAGAATTAAAACATGGCCTCAAGTTCCAGAAGATGTTAATATTTCAGTGGTGGAATCTGCATCAAGGCATCACTTGGTATGGATGAAATGAGGGCAGACATGAGTGGTGCAGCTTGTGTAGTCAGCAGCATTCAAGCAGCTGCTAAACTTGGGCTACCTATCAACGTGAAAGGTAAGTTTTAAAAAATATTTATTTGAAGAATAATTTTTTGCCTCTATAAATAGTGGAATGTTTAATGGATTATTTTACAATTTTATATTTAGGTCCCTCGTGGCTTTAGAATATAAATTTCCTTTGTTTTGTAAAACTTTAAGTTTAAAAAAAATAAACATCTGACAGTTTATTTCCTATTCTGTTATACTGTTTCAAGCATAAATTTGTATAATTGCACAAAGCCTTAAATAGGACATATATATATATTAACAAATTGACTATTGGAATTTAAAAAAATATCTGCACATCTGATTTTAGTTTCATAGCCAGCTGTACAATTTAATGCACATATTTTTATGCACTACATTAAACTGCTTTAAAAACTATTGCTAAGGTCTAGCACCTTTATGTGAGAACATGCCTAGTGGAAAAGCCACCAAACCAGGTGATGTGGTCACGGCTATGAATGGGAAGACCATTCAGGTAAGAACTGATTGTATTACAAGTTTATTTTATCATGTTAAATACAATCTTGGCAGTGGTGTTTATTTTGTTTTAATTTAATGATTTAATTGAAAGGTTAATGACACTGATTATGAGGGCAGGCTAATACTGGCTGATGCTTTATGTTATGCTGAAACATTCAAACCAAAGCTAATTTTGGATATTGCAACTCTAACAGGTATTTAAAATTAAGCTTATAAAAGTCAAGTATTATATTATTAATGTGTTGATCAAATGTAATTATGTAGTTATTTTACAAAGGTTTACATTTTTTTTTCTACAGTAAACCTAAGGAGTCACCTCAATCAATTTTAAGTTTACTTTATTCCCATAACTTAGTTTATTATATATTTATACACTCACACACATGTATACAGGTAAAATATAAATGTATGTTTATATTGGTATAAATATATTATGTATTTAAGCATACATATGTATACAAATGTCAAATAAATTATTGTTTCACATTATGAACATTACATCTGATATAAATATATTTATAACAGGTGAAGTCATCATAGCCTTAGGAGCTGCGGCAACAGCAGCGTATACAAAGTCTGAAAATATTTGGGAAAATTTGCACAATGTAAGAACAATATCCAAATTAAGTTTGGTAATGAGATATAGGTTTATTTTGATAAGCCTTCATTATTTTTTGTTTTTCAGGCTGTTTCTTTCTATTTTAGGCAGGTAAAGCAACAGGTGATAGGGTGTGGAGGATGCCGTTATTTAAACATTACACCAAACAGATGACTGAGTGTGATTTGGCTGACATTAACAACGTTGGCACCAAGGGGAGAGAAGCAGGGAGTTGTACTGCTGCTGCTTTCTTGAAGGTAAATCCTGATTTTATCGAGTAGGTTTAGAGAATCTGATTTCATCAAGTAGGTTTAGAGTATCTGATTTTATTAAGTAGGTTTAGAGTATCTGATTTTATCAAGTAGGTTTAGAGTATCTGATTTTATTAAGTAGGTTTAGAGTATCTGTCTTTATGAAAGTGTAGGACAATAGTGTGATTGCATCAAGTATAGTCTATAGTATGATTATATCAAGTATAGGCATATAGTTATAGTATGATTGTATCAAGTGTAGGTCTATAGCATTATTGTATCAAAATGAAATGTAGGCCTTTAGTGTGATTGTATCAAATGTAGGCTTTGAGTCTATACATATATCCATGAACTATACTGACAGATGACCGGCATGATACTTATTTCCTTGCATTCCTTACTCTACCATTAGTTGAGGCAGATATAAATCTATACTATGCCATATACTATAGTATCTGACTTGATCAAGTGAAGCTGTATAACAATCTAGTATTTAAACATACTTTCGACTTTGTTACTTACCTCTGTAAATTCTAAATGCAGGAATTTGTGTCAACTGACAACTGGGTCCATCTAGATATGGCAGGTGTTATGACAAACAATGGTGATGTGCCATACTTGGGTAAAGGGATGTCAGGTACCTATACAAAACTTTCTTAACTTTGTGACACATTTTGTTAAAAAGATAACCTGTTTGTGCCAACTTGGTGAATGATCTCTTGAAGCAAGCAAAAGCAGAGTCAATCTATTGGTGGTTCAAGTATTGCCCTATTGAGAATGTTGAAAGAGAAAACCATTTCAGACTCACAGGAGTCTGAAACGGAGTTGTGAGCAACTCAAACATGTACCACTTTACTGTTTTAACCTTGAGTCACACATAAAATATCATTTCTACTAAGTATGCTAGAATTTCAGCCTAATAGATGCTGGGTTAATTTGGTTGTAATATCTACGCCTTTTTTTTTGTTTTTGCTGGAGTACTAAAGTTAATTCTTTTAAGGAATTATTATAACGAAATACACATTTATACTTCCAGCTAATTTCTTTGATTTGAATGAACTCTAACATTTTCTTCAAATGAGACATACTCTTTCTCATCTTTTGTAGAGAAATGTCTCAACATCAAATAATGTAGGGCCTACTATAATAAAATTATTCTTACAGAATTTAACTCATTTTTTGGATGTAGGCATAATACTAAAGTGGTAGCTATAAATCCTGCATAGTTACTGTAACAGAGAAATATAAATCCTACATCAAATTTATAGCCTAACACTAGATTGCACTGAAAGAAAAAATGTTCTCCATAAAAATTTAAAACATTTTCCTTTTCAGGTCGCCCTACAAGAACCCTAGTTCAATTCTTGGAAAACCTGAGTAAACAGCAAGCTTAATATTTCACTAAGTTTTATTCAGTATTATAAGAAATGATGATTTAGGTAATTAATTAGAGAGCAAGATTTAACCATAATGTGAGTCAGGAGCCTATTAGCATGGTTGTGAAAAGGGGACTTACTATGAAGAAACCGAAAATGGCATACACATTTTAAATTATTTTTCTGACAACTAATTTTCAGATGCAATGGTGCTGATCGAACTGTAAATGAATTTTAAAGAAAAATGTTAAGACTGATTTCATTGTAAGAAAACCATAAACAGAAAAATGAATAATGTAAACAAAATTAAAGGATAGTATTGTTTTGTTGAACTAAATGGCATTGTTTATCAAAATAAAATTAATTTATCAATAAAAATGAATAAATCAAACTTATTCACATTAATGTATAATAGTGACAAATGTATACTACATCACATTTAAAAAATATTTTTCCTCAAAGATGTAAACATTTTAAACATGGTGCTATTAATCAAGAACATTTTTCTAATAAACTCATCAGATTTTAAAAATATTTTTGCTCAAAGACGTAAACATTTTAAACATGGTGCTATTAATCAAGAACATTTTTTCTAATAAACTCATCAGATTTTTAAAATATTTTTGTGTGTGCTTTAGTACAGACACATTTAATCATTAAATAAAATTATGCTTATTCTAACCTAACAGGATAGGACGCATGGTCGAATGGTAGAGCATTTAAATGCTAACCCAAAAGTTTTGTGTTCAGGTCAGTGGTCGTAGCACCTCCCTGAATCCACTCCCTGAATCCACTCCCTGAATCCACTCCCTGAATCCACTCCCTGAATCCACTCCCTGAATCCACTCCCTGAATCCACTCAACTCTGGTGGGTACCTAACTTTTGTTTGGGAAAGTAAATCATCGTTCTGATTGGGTGAAAATGGTTTAAGTTCAAGACAAAACCCCACTAGTGATGGGTATGGGAAATCATCAGTGCAGTCGTTTGTGTTAAAAATGTGAATAAAGATTAAAGATTAAAGAATGATGCTAGGGAGATGGTGGAGAAGTGAGATAAAGTTGGGAAGTAGAGGATGACACAGTATGTAAGCAGAGGCGTAGCGACCGGGGGACAAACTTTTCGATTTGCATCCCCCCCCCTCAACATTTCGATTTGCACCCCCCCTCAAACTTTCGATTTGCACCCCCCCCTCGAGATTTCCATTTGCACCCCCCCCCCCCCCGCTCAAACTTTCGATTTGCACCCCCCTCAACCTTTCAATTTATTTTTCCAACCCATTTTGGTGCCCCCAAAGGTCGGCGCCCGGGGACATATGTCCCCCCCCCCCCCCGCCTCCCCCCCCCACCCTCGCTACGCTACTGCATGTAAGCTGTGGATGGTTGTTTAGTTGGAGCCTGGCCTACTGGAAACTAGACTTGACTGGAAGGATGGAGCTGTTCCTTTTTTCATCCGGGAGCTCTAGCTGTGGGGAAAGTTCATAAATAACATGGGTCTTTTTTAAACGACAATAAAAAATCAGATACACACTTAGAATAATGTCACACTTGGGTGCTTCCAATCCCCGAAATGAATAAAAAAAATTCTAACATAGTAAATAATTAGTAATACAATATAAATATCGAGTTATTTCCCATTGGCAAGGGGAAATAATCAAATAAATATGTAGCTAACTGTTGGCTAAGTAAGTTTGGTTGTAAATATCACCATATTATATACTGATGCACAGTTTAGAAAATCCGGGTCGTGTTATTGCATTCTTGAAAATCACACGTAAAGATGTGCTAAAAAATTTATGAATTTAAAAAATTTAAGTAAAATTAACACTGTGTAGCGTCACAGTTTCTTATTCACCCCCCCTCCCCCACACTCACACACATCCAAAGACCTCCACCCTCTTTTACACAGGAGTGTGGCGTCTTATAAACTAACCCTTGGTCCTGGATAGAGGAACATGCACACAGTGGGCTGCTACGTCTTTAGGTCGTTTGTGTGGTGGCATCAGGCCATATCGTGTTTCCTCCGGTTTTGATTGGATGCCACCTCCGGTTTTGATTGGATGCCACGCCCTAACAAACCCTAAAATGCTGTTTTTATTTGACATAAATTGCTCTATGTAGTTTTACAATTTCCCCTTATGACAATTTTCTTAACTTCGGCGGTCAAGCGGTTTGTGGGTTTATTCAATAGTTTATATTTATGTAATGGGGTCGTCCATAAATGACGTCTCACACCTTTTGGGACGATGTGTGACGAGGGGGAGGGGGGGGGGGGTAGAGACATTGTGACCTCACGTTGTCTTAATCTCACGAATTGATTAACATGCATTTTTTTAATAGTTTTTAGAATCATAAACTTTCTAAATACTAAATAATTGTTTACATTGGTTCCGATACTTCTAACAAAAGGTATACTTTTGTGTAAGTTGCCAAAAGATTGTGAGATACATCGTTGTTCTAATTAAATTGCCCTAAAATTTGACGATGTATGTTGTGTAGTAGACTGCCGTATTTGCAAAATTGTCAATAGTGCTATTTGACTAAAGGTCGGAAGCATGTCAACTAGTAAGAGTAAGACAGGGGTAGCAGTAATGCTTGCTATTCTTTGAAGTTTACCGAGTAGGGCAGTCATGATAAAACTTTAAACCCCGTTCCCCGAATATTTTGTTCAAAACTATTTACAGAACTTATGTTCACACTTAGGGCTGTGACTCTTGCCCTTGATGACACGCCTTGTCTCCCTTACATCATGGTGTTTCTGCAGGTAGCTCATGTTAGTGCAGGGGTCTCCAAACTTTTCAGCATGAGGGCCGCATTAACTATCAAATATCAGTTCGGGGGCCAGAGTTTCTTTCAGGCATCTCTTCGGGTCGCCCACCCCCCTCCGAAGAATGTCCCCCCCCCCCACACCACACACACACACAACGAAATATAATTTATATAGAAATATATACACATTTCTAGTGTCGTCCCCCCTGGAGAAAAATGTCTGAAAGAAACACCGTCGGGGGCCGACAACACACTCGAGGTCCAAGTTCGTTCTCAAATTGTCCTTCACGTATTTCATTCTTGGAAGTGTTTGTTCACTCAAGCATTTTGTTTCAAAATTTGAAAGGTACTTTAATGCAAACGTTTTAATTTCTGGAAAGTCTTCATTGAACTTGTCTCTAAGGAGGTAATTTGCTTGGTTGAGCCCATGTGACCTTATTAAATTCACCATCTTCGCCACAGGATTCAGTACACTGCTAATATCCACACATTTAGCACATAAAACTTACAGATAGATCTAATAATAATCGCATATATTCTGCTTAAAAATGCAACTATTAATCATGGTTAGAAATAAAATGTTCTAGTGTATTTTTGATGCCTACGTGCTGGCATATCCTAAAAAGTGTAAAAAAAAGATTTGCAAAGAAGAAGTCGTTGAAAAGTGGACTCAACTAAAAAGCGATTCAGATCTGCACTTGAAAGCGGAGGTCTGGCTGCAAGAGCTAAAAGCAATTGCTCACTTTTGACGTTTTGGGCCAAACAAACATCTGTATCTTCACCTACAAATAAGAAAACACCCTAATTTGTCAAAAGAAATAACTAATAAGTCACTGAAGTCAGATGAAAAAGTGAACGATGCTCATGACGTCAGTGATTTCAAACCCTCTACCAGCAAACTATGAACATCTAAGCACGCTACAGTCCAGATAAACTTACAATCAGAGATTGAGCATCTGAATTTCAATCAACTTGTATGAGCGACAAACTCGCGGAATGTTAACACATGAACAGAACATGGAGCTTAAAGAAAAGAAACAGAAAAAGAGTGATTTGGAAAAAAAGCTAAAGAGGAAGATATCTGATCAAATAAGATCTCAGAAAACTCGAAATGAAAAGAAAAGAAAACTGAATACTTTGTTTGAAGAAGGGACGGAGTGGTCTAGCGGTAGAGAGCTGGAATCCGGGTTCAAGTCAGTAAACCGTCCCTGAGTCCACCCAACTCTGATGGGTACCTAACACATGTTAGGGAAAGTAAAGGCGGCTGAGCATAGTGCTGACCACACTATCTCTTCATATACTCCGGCCCAACATACATATCAATCAGATCTGGTAAACATTCCTCATCCACAACACTTACTCATAGACTTGACTTTGAAAAATTACTTACTTTACATGAATTTGATGATATCACAAAGATTGGTGTGGATCAAATTGTTAAACCAATATTAGTGTTGACGGTTGATGGTGGCCCAAACGAATACCCCAGCTATGAAAAGGTTATTAAAGTTGCCGTACACCATTTTCTCAATCAGAACTATGATGGTTTGTTCATTGATACCAATGCACCAGGAAGAAGTGCATTTAATAGGGTTGAAAGAAAAATGGCGCCACTTAGCAATGAGCTCACAGGATTAGTTTTACCCCATGACCACTAGCGCAGTCATTTAGAGAAGAAGAATTTTCAATTTGCCGGAAACACTTTAGCAGAAATATGGTCACACTTGACAGTGGATACATTTCCCACAATGGCAGTAAAAATTAAACTGATCGCATTCTTTTGAAAACTATTAAATATCGCTCGAAGAGGAAAATTTCATTAAAATCTTAAAAAGAAACATGTGTCTACTTGTTTCTTTTATATGTAAGTCTTTTAAGTACCCCCCTCCCCATCCCATTCAAATTTTACAACTTAAATATCTCTACAAAGAAGAACCAGTAGCCCACAACGATTTACGCGAATGATTTTTACTTTCTCAAATATACGAAGTATAGAGAATCGTTCAAAAAAAAATCGAGGTTTTTCACCTCCCTGAGTCGAAAAAACATAGTTTTGCAATATTGTCCGTAAGTCTGTGTGTGCGTATGTATGTATGTGTGTGTGTGTGTCTGTAAACATGATAAATTGAGTACCGTTACAGATAGATTGATGAATTTCATATATAAATATTATATCAAAATCGTAGATCCGTATCAACTTTTGACAGTATTTTTCAAAAGCCTATAACTTGAGTACTATTTCAGATAGATACATGAAATTTCACACGCAAGTAAAAGATCTAATATTCTCCGCCTTCTATATAATTTTGAGTAATTTCCGTTAACCGGAAGTACTAATTTTGGTTATTTCCGATTTCTCAAAAAAAAAAAAAAGCATGCGAACTTATAAAATACTAATAATATTCCGCACTATTATATACATTTTCTTTGGCGTTCACATGGTTTGCATTTTTTTTCCACGAGATTTTATTCTATTTTTAAAAAGTTTAAGTAATTAAAAATGGATTTAAAATCATGTCTATATCACGAGTTGCCATCCCCTTTTTGTTTAAGGGAGATCACTCCCGTTTTATTTACTGTGTTATCTCTTTGATACTTTTTGTT